GTCACTGGCCCTCATATGTGGGATCCGAACCGGGGCTCTCTGGCATCCCAAGCCAGTTCTTAACCATCGCGCCACTCGGCTGGCCACACGTTCTTTCTTTTGCAGAAATAGCTAAGGAGGTTGCGGTGCCACAGGCTGCCCTGGGCACCCTGGCCCATGAGAAGGGGGACAGCTGCCACTCGCCCGTGGTGGAGGAGGAAGTGGGCACCCCAACACCGGCACCAGGGCTCCTGCAGGTCTCAGAACGAAGGCGTAAGTATGGCTGACCTGCAGGGCACACTCCATGGGGACCTGCAAGCCCCCCGAGAGATGGGTAGCAGGGTCCTCAGAAAGAGCTTTGGCTCTCTAGGCCTCAGCTGTACCATCTGTAAAATGGGGGACCCCAGAGGGCATTCAGCGTTGACTGTGGGGAGCAGAGTTTGGGGCCTGACTGGGTTTTACCCGGAGCTCTAGATCTTCCCTGGGCCTGGGGGGTGCTGGGGGCCATGCGATGACAAGCCCCCCACCCCCAGAGCCCCTGAGCAGCGTCTCCTCTCTGGAGGTGCACTTTGACCTCCTGGACCTCACCGAGCTGACCGACATGTCCGACCAGGAGCTGGCCGAGGTCTTTGCCGATTCCGACGATGAACAGCTGACCAGCGAGTCACCAGCAGGTGGGGCTGGCAGTGGGGTGCTGGGCACTGGGGGGGGGGGCGTGTCCTGGGGCCCGAGACCACCAAACACTGCTTGCTCCCTGCGAACCCCTATTTTTGAAAATAATTTTATCTCATTGTGTTTAAATGAGTGTCAGCACTGCACTGTTTTATTCAGCACGTCTGCATCCCACAAACCTGTGTGCCCAGCTTTACAAGGAATTTTCCTGTTACAACTCTCAATTTTGCTTTTCAAACGCCAACAAAAGGCGAAAACCACAGACTTACTGAAGTTAGAATTTACGAAATGTGAATTAATCACAAGTTAAGCCAAGCACAGGGGCGGTTCCATTCGCCTCCACTGGCCCCTCCTCAGCTCAAGCTGACTGTTTCCCCTTTGGTTCCCAAGGAAGCATCGCCCTTGGCCCAGGAACCTGAAGACCTCACAACGGCAGCCAGTGGGTGGGAGGGTGGACCCAGGCCTTCCTCTCCCACTCACACGCCATGCAGACAGGGTCTGGGAGCTCAGACCCCAGCCCTGTGGGGACTGCACCCTGGAGAGCAAGGGAGTGGTTAGCTGCTCAGCTGCACCCAGACCCGCACGTCCACACTGCTGGTGGCCTGGCACCCGCAGTTTCTGATCCCTCAGGGGACCCCAGTGTGTGTCCAGCCCCTGTGTTGGAGACACACCCTGGCCCAGCCCAGTAGCTGCAGGAGAGACCCTGGACCCCAGACCATGCTGACTCCACCCATGTTCACCAGGCCTGCACCCACTGCCCCGGGCCGGCTGTCTGCGATCCCCTTCCTGGACACGCACAAGGGCCGAGCAGAACCGTGAGAAGCAGCCCCTCGGCGACCCTGAGCGGCAGCCAGCAACTGTGGACACAGTTCTTACTGTGGAGAGGCCCACGGAGAACTAGGCCAGCCGGGCCACGGCAGGGGAGACCTGACAGCGTGGCCCCCACACCCCAGCACAAGCACAGCCCAGTGGCCTTATGTCCAGCTCCTTCCCGGTCCCTGAATCAGGGCTGACAGTGCCCGGGGAAGAGACGTGAGCGGCCTGGGCCTTCTGGAAACTTGTCTGCAGGACTGGTGCTCTTGTCTGTCACAAGATTCCCAAGTGGGTGCCAGGTGAGGGGGAATCTGAGCAGGTGACCCTTGATCTGCAAACCCCTTGGGGTCTCAAAGTTCTGGTGTGCGTGCCACACCAAGTTCCAGCCCAGAGGATGCCAAGTACATGGTTGGGGGACTCAGTCCTGAAAATTGCCACCTTGATTTCAACCCCGTCCCCTTCCTGCCATCCAGGGAGCACTACCTGCACCAGGGTCCCCTCCTGAGGCCCTAAGACCCTGCAAGACAGCCGGGCGGAGCCGCCTTAGCTCAGAACACCAAATATGGCATATGACGTACTCAGGCTGCTTGAGGGGGGTGCGGGGCAGGTGGGGTTTGCCGTCTTCCCATCCCTTACACATGACATATCCCCACAGCCAGTCACGCACATGCGTGGTGTCCCCAGCCAGCATCCTGGCCTGGGGTGGAATGGCCGAAGGGGGACTGGGGATGTCAGGGACACCAGGCTCAGCTGCCCCAACATTGCTTTCTATGGACAGAATGGGCTCTGGTCCAACTGCGAGTCCAAGATCGGTTTTAAAATAAATGTGTGAGCTTGCTTTTTGACCCCAAGCCAACCTGCCCTGACCTGTTCCCCAAAAACGTTTCTGGGGAAGGAAACTGGCTCCTCCAGAGACGCCCTGGGCATGCACTGGGCCCATGTGCAGGCTGAAGGCTGGTCCCCGCGGGGAACATGGGCCTCACAAAGGTAGGAGTTTTCTGTCCACTCCAGGGGCCTGGGGGACACTGCCAGCTCCTTCCACACGCAATGAGTGACACAGGGGTGTTCGCCAGGCAGTTGAGAATTTCACTTAAAACCAATCCCGTAAGGGCGGCCACATGCCCCACCCACCCCACTCACCAGGGTCCTTGTCCCCGTTTCCATCCTTCCTGCTTCAGCTTCCGCAGACCTCAATTACAAAAAGTGGGATTAAAATGTCACCTGTCCTAAGTGAGGCCCGATACTGTCTCTTCCTTTGTAGCTAGCAGCAGAGCTCACGGGTGCATGCCAAGGGGGTGGGCTGGCTGCTCCAGGAGTGAGCTCCCTGTTATTTGTCCAGCTGAAGCCACTGGGGGCTCCGCTGTGCTGCACTCTGAATGGCTTATTTGGGTCACTTTACAGGGAGAAGTGTCCTGGATCTCTACTCATTCAGTGAACACCCTGCCCCCACACAAGCCCAGGCTGCAGGAGGCACCAGGCGCTCCCTGGCGAGCCTCTTCCAGGCCCGGAGCAGGTTCCCAGGATCTCCAGGCTGAAATCCCAACCATTTCAATCACCTGTGAAAGACGGGCACAGAGAAAGGCTCAGGGCATCGTGCCAGGTGCTTTCTGGAACCCTGAGCTTTCCTCATGGGAGATTCTCAGCCAGGTGTCCTCTGCCCATGGGCCCAGGAACCAACTCAGCTGGTGGGAGTGCACCCAGGTGGTGCAGTGGCCCAAACAGGGTGAGGGGGTGAAGGAGCTGAGGAAGGGGGATGTGGCTATGAGGGTGCTGCAGGGTGGGGATGTCAGTAGAGGTGGTGGGCATGGACAGGTGTGGGCTGAACTCTGGGGAGGAGCTGTGTTCAAGGAGGAACAGACCCCCAGGCTCTGGACGCCGTGGATAGGGCCTTCTTGGGGTTGAGGAGAGCACCCACATCTCCAACAGAGGGAGTCGTGAGACAGGACCCCAACAGCCCAGCTAGTGGAGGCTGAGTTTGGTGGAGGCAGCGTTACAGGGTGAGCCCTAGAGACTTGAAAAAAAACAACATATTTTACAATCAACAGAAGTCGAAAGTGCTTGTTCCAAGTTGGAAATTCTATTTTTGAGGCAAACAACAGTCTGGAAAATTTTAGACTAAGTCCCAGTCTGGTCTTGGCCGGCTGAGAGCAGTTGGGCGTGCGGGGCAGTGAATGAATGCCCCAGCAGCAGTCGGGCGTAGCGAAGGGTGTCCGGGTGACCCAGACACTCACCCACCCACCTGGAGGTAGCAGCTGGCCCTGCTGCTGTCCTGGGTGTGATGACTGCAGGAGGCGCCCTATGCGCTGGAGAACGCACGCTCAGGGACATTCCCACGAAGTCGCAGATTCCCAGGGCAGTGATGGCGCTGCAGAACCACCCAGACAAGGCACCAGAGACCTTCAGCTTGCGACCCAGAACTGGCACCTGCCCGACACCAGGAAGAGCGTTCATCAAGTGGTGGTGACAGCAGCCCACAGGGACCAGCCCCTCCCTCTTGGTGACTCTAACCAAAGGGGCCCCAAGGAACGCAGCATCCTGGAGGACAGTAAGACCAGGCGCCCACCCTGTGAACAGCAGTGCTACCCGCGCAAAGGTGTTGTGGGGGGCCGTCACGGGCTCCACCATCCTCCCAACTGCACGCCTGCGGGAGGGGCTGTTTCCTCCATGACTGACAGGCCTTCCACCAACCCAAACCCTACTTTAAAAACCCAATACTTTCCCTTGACTACTGACTTATATTTGCCTTTTCTTAATTCTGCAAGTTCACCAAAGCTTGATGATTTCTCAACTGAGTCTGCTCTCCTTGGGGCGGTAAGGTGGCCAGCACTTACGCGTCTCCCTGAGACACCGTCCCCACCAGATGCACCCACTGCTCACCTCATCGGAGGCCACGCACTGGATCAAAAATTTTAAAACTCCACATTTAGTGTACTAAGGGGAAAATAATCAATGTGATCACTGCCTCCTGGGATGGATCAATACAAAAAAAAGTAACCTTAAAATACAGAATAACTTTTCGTAGCATCTTACCCAGGGGAAGGCATACAACACAGAAGTGCCTAAAAGTGAAGGCGCTGGGGCGGGAGGGCCGCGAGCGACGAGGTGAGAGCAGCAGCCGAGCGGCCCGCTTTGTCCCCCCCATAAAACAGGGCTGGACAGCGCCTGCCCGCAGGGCGGGGGAGACGCACAGGCGAGCGCCCCTCACGCTCAGCTCAGAGGCCCCCGGGCAGCATCAGCTGTTATTAGAATGGCAGTTAGGCGCAACGAACAATGGGTGAATTCAAAACCTAACGATTTACAAAACCTTCACGTCTATTAACACATCCGGTTCAGAGAGCAGCCCCGCGACAGACGGCGCAGGAGTAACATCACGGCCGAGCCCAAGACGCGGGGCGCAGTGGGCGCCGGAGACGACGCGCGCCGGCTGGCGGGGAGGCGGGGGCGGTGCGTTGGGGAGGGGCGGAGGGAGCAGGGGCGCTTGCTCCGCCTCCGAAGGGAGCCGGCGGCGGGAGCCTCTGAGGAAAAGGGTGAGGGGGGCCGCGGGGAGAAGAGCGGGGGCTCGGGGCACGCGGGGTGACAGGCCTGGGCCAGGAGCCGCCGCCTCGGCCGCGCTCTCCGAGACCTCGCGCCTCGACGCGGCCCACCCGCGCGCCCGGCGCACCGGGTGACGTCACCGCGGCGTCGAGCGCGCCGCCCTCCGCGCTCACCTGACCCGCGGTCCTAAGGCCCTTCAGGCCTGGCCCGACCTGGCCGCCGGGCGCGCACGCGCAGTGCAGCGCCGCAGCGCCACAGCCCCCAGCCGTCCCCGCGGGCTCCGGCCCCGCACGGGCGTGTCCGCGCCGCGGTGCCGGCGAGGGGACTTCTCTTTAGGTGTCTACTCTGCTGCCTGATTCTTTAAGGATTTGAACAAGGGCTGACTTGCCCGACCAGGACAGCTGAGGACAGAAACCGCAGCCAACGACTCGAGCTAGGTGCTGAAAGCATGCCCAGCTCCTCTAGGCTTGTTTTAATCGGGCATCTACAAGGACACGTGTTTCCAGGGTCTTCTATCGACAACGGCTCACAAAAGCAAACGCAGGCCTATGCTCTGTGCCTGCTGCGCCCCTTCTCTCGCCCGGTCGGCCGCTGCTGCGTCCCTGTAGTTGTTCAGCGCACCGGCTGCACTGCTGTTCCCATATCCGTCCTGAGCAAAGGGACTGACTCGGTGTACGCTATACAGCATTATTCCCCTTCACGATATTTTGTTCTCTGGATCACAAAAACCCGCGCCAGTTTGGATGTGCCTGCAGCTGTGCTGTCCAGGAAACCGGACACTCTGTTGGACACCAGAGGCCTATGCTGTTCGCCTGAGGGTGGAGAATGAACCAGCCTGTTTCTGGGCAGTGGGGCTGGGCAAGTCTATGGTGACCCTTCCACTTCTTTAGGGACGTCAGCTGGCACCTCCTCCCTGCCCCAATTTCTCTTTCCCAGGTTCTGCAAGGGAGCATAGAGGGACCACATGCCTTCTTGCGCCAGAAACTGCTGTGACTTGATTACATTGTGGAGACAAAGATGCCTGGGAAAAGCCGCCTAAATGCAACGGTTACCCTGAGGGCCAAAAGGGAACGGAAAGCAATTACCCTCGACATAAAATTAGAAGTGTTAAGAAGATTTGAAGAGGGTGAAAAACTCAGCCAAATCGCAAAGGCCTTAGGCCTTGCTGTCTCCACAGTGGCGACGATCCGAGATAATAAAGAAAAAATCAAAGCGAGTTCACAAATAGCTACTCCCTTGAGAGCCTCTCAGTTGACTCGCCATCGAAGTGCAGTCATGGAGACCATGGAGCGGTTGTTGCATGTGTGGCTTGAAGACCAGAGCCAGCGAAACATGCCCCTGAGTGTCACCATTATTCAGGAGAAGGCTAAGAGTTTGTTTGATGACTTACAGCGTGAACAAGATGGAAGCTCCCAAAAGGAAAAGTTTAGTGCAAGTAAAGGGTGGTTTGTGAGATTCAAGGAGCGCCATAGTCTGCCCCACTTCAAGATGAACAGCACAGCTCCTGGCAACAAGGACGCTTATCCAGAAGTGCTGAAAAGCATCATTGAAGAAGGTGAGTACACCCCCCAGCAAGTTTTTAATGTAGATGAGACAGGGCTCTATTGGAAGAGAATGCCTGAAGGAACGTTTATTTCTGTGGAAGAAAAAGCTGAGCCAGGGTTTAAATCATCCAAAGATCGCTTGATGCTGCTGCTTGGTGGCAATGCAGCTGGGGACTTTAAGTTGAAGCCCTTGTTGGTGTACCACTCAGAAAACCCCAGGGCCCTGAGGGGGTACTCCAAGCCCAATTTACCTGTGATTTGGCGCTCGAACAAAAACGCCTGGGCAACAAGGAGCATTTTTCATGAGTGGTTCACATACTTTTTCTGCCCTAACGTTGAAAAATACTGTGCCCAAAATCATCTAGCGAACAAAGCATTGCTTATCTTAGACAATGCACCATGCCACCCATTAAATTTGGGCGATCTGTCTGCTAATGTGAGAGTGGAATACCTTCATGACAGTATAGCTGAGTCGATCCAGCCCATGGGCCAAGGTGTAGCCTCTACCTTCAAAGCTCATTATCTAAGAAGGACTTTTGAGCACATCCTAGAAGCGACAGATGGGGAGGATACAGCTGTGATCAGGGAGTTTTGGAGAAGCTACAGCATCCTGGATGCTGTGGACAACATTGCAATAGCTTGGGAGGCCATCAGACCAGCAACAATGAACAGTATGTGGAAGAAAATTTGGCCCCAGTGTGTTCAGTTCCAAAGTGTTTCCCAAACAGATAACATTGCACAGCTTCAACAGAACATTGTGACCCTTGCCAGGAATGTGGCTTTTGAAGAGATTGTAGAAGCTGACGTGGACCAGTTGCTACGGTCCCATGAGGAAGCGCTCTCGAATGAGGAGCTGATGCAGCTGGAATGGGAGCCAGAAGGAGAGGAGGGCAGCGAAGACGCTGCAACCCCCCTGCGCCAGCTAACCACAGGTGAGCTAGAGACAGCCTTCTCGCATTTTGAGGCTGGCATGCAGGTCCTTAGCAGCAGCAGCCCCAATGATGAGTGGAAACTGAAAGTCTCAAGAGCCATCAATGATGCAATAAACTGCTACAGGGAATTGTACAATGAGAAAAAGCGGCACTCACAATAACTCTCTTAGGTTGTTTTTCAGGGTGTGTAAACGAAAGTTAATCAGAGTAAAACCAAAAGCAAGATGACCTCAATGGAAGAGGCCCAGCCAAGCCTCTGCTTCCAGACATTTAACATCCTGGGAAAACCCATTTCTGCTAGTTTCATTTTGACACTTGACAGTACCAGATTTTGTCATTAAAATTTTATTTAAATATGTGCTTTATAAAGATTGCATGCTAGAATACCCAGGAAAACATTTCTTAAAAAAAAAAAAAGAAAAGCTATGAGAAGCCCAGCCCTCCTAGACATGAAAACACACTGTAAAGCATCTGTAATTAAAGTAGTGTAGTCATCAGAGCTGGGAATAGGATAGCCAGACCTTGGAATAAAATAGAAAGCCTAGAAATAGGTAGATAGATTTTTTTTAAAACACTGCAGGATAACTTGTTAACTATTCAGAAAAAGATAAAATTAGATCCATACCTAACAGCATACAGAAGAATAAACAAACAGATCAGGGGTCTAAATGTAAAAATTGAAACCATGTGAGTACTAACACACATGAAGAATATCTCTTTGACCTGGGTGTGGGGAAAGATTTTCTATGACTCAAAATCCAGATGAAATAAAAAAAAGATTAATTAATGTGGCCATATAAAAATGGAAATAAAACCTTTCCATGGGGAAAACTACAAAGATAAAGGCAACTGACAAATGAAGAAAATATTTGCAATATAGCTCACAGTTAATAGTCTAATATCTCTGATATGTGAAGAATTCTTAAAGATTGGGAAGAAAAAAAGACCAAAAATCCAACAGAAAAGTGAACAAAATATATAATTCATAAATAAATAAATTAGATCTTAAAACATAAAAAGAAATTTGACCTCACTCACAATTAATGAAACGGCTGGTTTGGGGGATGGGCAAGTACACGCCTAGAACACCTTGCTGTGCTACAAAGAAAACAAGTACCTAAAGGATGACAGGAACAGGTGGATCAGTCATCACCTCCACAAACAGGACAGATGATGGGCTGAGGATGCGGCATCGCCTCTGGAATTCCCACCAAAAGTGCAAAGCCTGAATCCAATCAGAAAAACCCACATTGAAGGACATTCTTCAAAATAATTAACCTGTGCTTTTCAAAAATGTCCATGTCATGCACCCTTCCAGATTTAAGAAGGCCGAAGAGACATGACAACTGCAAGGCAAAATCTGAATATGGTTTATTGTAGGTTTTATGGTATATCACTTAATTTCCGGATATGTTTTGATCATTGCACTGTGGCCATGTGAGATAATGTCCATGTTAGGGAGGAGTACACAGAAGTATTTAGAGGTGAAGGGGATTCATCTGTGCAATTTACTGTCAGATGGTTCAGAAAAGTGTGTGGGCTGGGGAAGAATAAAGCAAATGGGGCAAAATGTTAATGGAACCCAGGAGACAAAATGGGAATACAATCTTTCTGTAAATCTGAGTTTGTCAATAAAAAGATGAAAATACTATGTAATAACCCCAAAGGGGGTGAATATTGCATCCTCCACCTCTTGTTCACAGTGGAGCTTTAGTTATTTGAAGTTGGAGGCACAGCTCAAATACGCTAGAGTGGGACTCACAAACAGCCCTCACATGTCTTTCCTCCCAGCCTCTGTGGTTCCCCCTTCCAACATGCTGGTTTCTTTCGGAATAGGGTTGCTGCCAGCTTATCTGGGTTGCAACTGGGTATGGATAATGTGCAGACACCATGTAAAGCAGAGATTCCCGAGTTTTCTGAGTCTTGGCCCCTTTGAGACCCTGATCAAAAACGTAAATCATATCTATGTAGAAAAATGTACGTCTAGGGGCCAGCTGAGTGGCGTGTTGGTTAAGAGTTGGCTTGGGACGCCAGCTCTGAGCAGCAGGGCCCCAGGTCGGATCCCACATGAGGGCCAGTGACACTGTGCCCTCTACAGCTAAGATGGCGAACAACAGCTCATCCTGGAGCTGGGCTGCCGTGAGTCGCCGGTGATGGTGTAGGCTGCAGCCCCTGCTGCAGTGGGCTACGGTGAGCTACTGTGAGTGGCTGGCAGCCAGCGTGAGCGGCCGTCCAATGGCTGGCGAGCAACTGCCTCACCTGGGAAGAGTGCAATGATCACAACACCAACATGGGTCAGTGAAGCGACGTAACTCCACAACTAGACTGAAGAACAAAAGGACAGAAACTTCTGTTCCCCTCCCCCAATTCCCCAATAAAATCTTTAAAAAAAAAAAAAAGCGTACATTTACAGAGGTGTGGATGTAATTTGGGAGAGGGGTTTTACGATTTCCTGATGTCCAAGGGTAATGGGAATGGCCTTGCGATGAGTGAGGGCTAGCTTGTGAACATGGAACAGGCTGCTAGGAGCTGGACCTGTGACTGTTTCACTGGATTCATGAGACAATCCTTCTACCATGGCTGGAAATAAGACATCACTTCTATTCACTGAGCATTGTCTGCATGCCCAGCTCAGGGCTTGGTGCCTCCCAGAACCTGAGCAGCCCCGTCTCAGAGAAGAGGTGCAGGCTGGGAGGGATCTGAGCATTCAGGCCTACGTCTGACACCCACGTCATGCTGCCTCCCACCCACCAAGAACACCTACTCTCCCAAACGAGATTACATTTACCCCATTGGACGGGTAAGGCTGGTCTGATGTCAGCAAACCCTGCCTTGTCCCCGACTCACCACACACACCAGAGTCTAGAGAACACAATATGACAGTGGCTGCAGCATCACTGCAGAGGTGTCCCTCGCTGTTTTTTATGAGGTGCTGGCTGTGCAAACTGGGCACTCAATAGGTTCTTGTCACACTGCTGTGGATCCAGAAATGCCACACAATTCTGCTCAGACTCATCAGAATGGGTAGATGGGGAAGGGTGTAGGGGGAGCCAGCTGTATCCAGCACACTGACGTTTTCTCTGCACATGGATTGTCACTGAGCAATGTGATGTTGATCACACAGTAAGCCTGGGAACGGCTAGTATCCCCATGATGGAAATGTGATGCAGCTCCAGAGAAGGGGAAGCAGGCGCAGGACCCAGTGTTGAGGCACCTCCATGCCATCACATGTCAGAACATGCAGCCTAAACCCACCATGTGTCACTGCCTTCACCCAACCCTCACATTGGCCAGCTACCTGAGGTGACCCTTGTGGTGCCTCAGGCATCCCCTCTCGGGCTTCCCAGTCAAAGGTGATGGATACCCCGGTGGTGTGTTCTCTGCGCACCATCTGCCACCTGTAAGTTAACATCCAAGCACAGTCCAGGGCAGGAAAAAGACTGGGAAGCCATACCCTGAAACGAGCCTTCCCCTTGGTGCAGGGTCTCCAAAACACAGAGTGTTCTGGCAAATGGGGAGACTGGCCATGGCTCCCACTGAAGGGCTGTGAGTCTCATCCTCCGTGCAGGGGGCCCTTATTCGCTGGGGCATGGGAATGTGCACACCTCAGTCTTCCTTCATGGGCTTTCTGCCTGGAGCTCCCTGGAGCAATTATCCTAGGACTTGACCTCATGTGCCCCACCCTCCCCCTCAAAAGGCCCCTGGCTGGTCTCCAAGCTGCGGAGTCCCACAGGCACTACAGCAGCAGCACAGACCTCGTCGGGCAAATGTCTTCCTCAGAAAGGCCACTCAAACCTACTGGAACCAACCATTGTGCCAAACCTGGAACCTCCCCTGGGGGCACACGTGGAAGCAAGACAGCCTCTGCAGGACAGAAGCCCAACCACCAAGCTCGGAGCACCAGGGTAAACAGCTGGGCCAACGCGGCAGTGGCTGGCCCACCCAGGGGTGGGCTCCATGGCCCCTTCCCTCCATGTTGTACAACATGAACCTGTAACCCCTGGACTGGCCCTGTCAACCAATCCCTGTTCTCTCCAAGCAATCCCTAATCTACTCCAGAACCTCGAGGACAGTTGTAAAGAGCCCTGGCCAGGGACATCCACAAGACCCCACAGAGACAAGGGGCTGGAGAGCTGGGAGCTTGCGGGTAGATCCCAAACCATCCACAGCAGAAAAAAACTCAGGTCAAGTCTGGGTGTTTGCAGCTGGCATCCTTGGGTCTTGCTGGCCACTCCCCTGAAGCCCTCCATGGGTCCCAGGGTGGCCTTCGCCCCATGGGGGAGACTAGAACCCCTCTCCCACTTCCCTGTCCACAGAGTCCTGCAGTGGGGGGACGGAGCACGTTCTGGCCCTCACAGCAGCACATCCAGGAAACAGCCGGCACAGCTCCAAGTCCCAGCAAGGACCCACAGGTGATGGACCCCGTGGTGCTTTTACCACTCTGGCCCAGCACGGCGGGGGACAGGTCCAAGGGTTGCACCCTAGGGGTCTCCAGAGCACAAGAAACAGCTTGACTTTGGCAATGACCAGTAGGGTGGGTGGTGGACAGGCCTGGGAGTGGTGCCCACCACTCTAGGCGTCCATGTCTGTCCCAGGCTCCTGGTAAAGCGACTGCTTCCGCAACGTGAGCCGGGCACACTTGGGGCACGTGGTGGAGTTGTCGTAGTAGCAGTCCCTGGGGACAGGGAGACAGGGTCAGGGCTGTCTGCATGTCATGTTCCACCAGTGAGTCTTCACAAGCTTCCTAAGTCAGGTCCCAATATCCCCTCTACAGTTGGGGAAACCGAGGCATAGTTTCTCCCGAAGGGCATAATCAGGGTCTGCACCCAGGTGCGTCTGCCAAGACTGCCATTGGGCATCTCTGGTATGGCCCCTCCTCACCCTCTGACAAGGACAGTTCTCGGAGCTCTCAGTGACGCGGTGTCCCTGCCCATTGCTATCACCACTGTGATAAGAGTCTGAACCCACGGCAATGGAGGCGCACGGGGTCCCATGGGTTAAGTTTTTGAAGGTTTGACATCTGTCAGACACCACACAAACTGCTAGCTCAAGAGAGTGCAGTTTCCATATTAGTTTTGCTACAGACCTTTCTGAGCAATCCCAACTCTGTAAACCTATGACGTCAGCTGTTGCCACGACAAACAGCAAAGGGCAGGCAAAAATCAGTGTGGACAGAAATGGGGGTGGTGGTGTCCCATCTAAGTTGCGTGTGAGAAGCTGTGCAGGGCCCAGCAGGCAGACACACATTATTAGTAATTGTGCTTATTAAAGAGTTAAAATACTTTTCTTCCAATGTATGTATATTATTTTTCCAAACATTCAGTAGGTCTTCAGTTCATAAATGCTTAAGTTGTTTGACCTTAAGTACTTAACAAACAAAATGTTAGGTATTTTCTTTTAGCAGAGACAAGTTTGAAAAATCGCCGACACTAGAAGTGCCAAGAACTGGGAACTTAGGAACCTCTGGCCTGTGCTAAGCCTGGGAGGGCAACCCCCACACGGGTGCAAGGAGAGGAAGGTTGGCAGTGGTCCCCCGGGGCGGGGCCGCAGCACCCCTCCCCTGCTTTACAGGTGCTGCCAGTGGAACTTTCGACTTAGTCACAGACATCAGGGCCTAACTCCATATCCAAGGATCAAGGCAAAGGGCTTTGAACATCCGGCAGCAGAGAACAAGCCCAAACCTCTCCCTCTCCCCTCTCCCCTCTCCCTTCTCCCTCTTCCATAGAGGAAGCCCCGCACCTGGCCTGAGGGGGGATTCAACGCCACACCAACCTGTGGAAGACAGCAGAGCAGTCACTGCACACGGATGTGTGGCTGTCAAACGGGAACAGCACATCACCCTCTCTGCAGAGCTCACATACAAAACCCTTGGCCTGGCACCGCTGTGGGGGGGGGGGAAGAGCAGGTCAGGAGGATGGGCACCTCAGGGACACGTGGCCTCCCCGCCCTTGAGGCTGGGAGCAGAGCTGCCTGGTCTGCTGTGGGGCGCCCACCTCACAGTCCAGCTTGATGTGCTTGGCGAACAGCGTGTGGGTCTCAGTGAGCGAGCAGCCCAGGCGGCCCGTGTGTGCGTCCAGCAGGTCCTGGATGGAGTACATCTCATCGTTCTCCACAAAGTGCTGCCGATCCTGGAGCTACGGAACCCCACCGCGTGACTGCAGGCGCTGCGTGAAGCCCCCCCACTGCCCAACCCCCATCACGCCCACCTTGGGAGCAGCACTGACCTGCCCTCCCCCCACTCCCAGGGGTGCCAGGCCAAGGGTCCAGGGGCACTCATGGAAGCAACAGACTTCAGATGGTGTCAGTGTGGGGGCCCCATACAGCCCCTGCAGCCGCAGTGGCCTCTGGCTGCTCCAGGCTCACCAGGTACACCCCACCTCCGCCTGGCACACGGCACTTCCTCCAGGTCTTGAACCCATTTACTACCCCAACATTCCTCACCCCTCTCCCTGCCTTTTGTTGTCCACAGACCTCACCACCCCGATGTACTGCTTATGTTTGTCTTCCACACCTGAAGGGCACTGTCTGTACGGAGGGCAAGGATCTTGTTGTGTTCTCTGCTCCCAGAACTAGGACAGTGTCAGCCCCCAGCAGGCACTCAGTGAATAAACAGATACCCCTTGAAAAGTGTGCTTCGTGTTCAGCCTGCCTGGGCAGGCCTGGAGATTCCCGGAGAGGCTGCAGGGACTTGCTTGCTTCTCTGTTCCCACAGGAGGCAATCCCAGGACACTTCTATGCCTGTTTGCTTATTACAGACCTCGTGTTCCCTGGGTCAGAGTGTGGAAGACCCTCCACTAGAGACGTGACACACAGAAGCCATTGAGTCTTCTGCAAAAGACCTGGGCATGACGTTCCCACCTGCCCTTCTCCCCAGGACCCCTCCCCACCCCTGGGGGCCAGTGGTCTGACCTGCAGGAGCAGACGTGCTTCCATGGCCTCCTTGCAAGTGACGAAGTATGGCTTCATGAGCAGGATGTCCTGACGCAGCTTCTGTGGACAGGAGGATGGTGGGCTCCCAGGCCAGGGCAGCGGCTGCTCAGGCCATCCATGTGGCGGTGCAGGAAGCTGCCTCGCCTGACACCCTGGGCCAGTGCCTCCACACCCCCAGCATGGGCCCAGGCCCGAGTGCTCCATTCAGACCACAGCTTCCAGGCCAGGCAGGACCCTGAGGCTCACTGATCCTCAGCTGCTCCACCTCACATGCCAGTTTGGGCAGGAAGCTGAGCCCGAGCTCCCCTTCCGGGGCAGCGGGGGTGGGGGGGGGGTGATAAATACACAGACTCTGCCACAGTCTCCTCCCCTTTAAGTGGGATCCAATCCCTTCTGACCACCTCACCGCAGATAGACCAGAGGGCCCTACCCTCCTGCTGGCTTGGCAAATAGAGTGGCCACCAGCCATGCTAACCCCTGAGCACTGCCCTAAGTGTAGAATACACCCAGGAACTGAAAAGAAAAGCAACGTCATATGACTTAGCAATGTATACTGATTAAGTTGAAATAACCTCTTGCATATTGGGTTATGCAAGAAAGGTACATTCTTAAAAATAACTTTACCTGCTTCTTTTTACTCTTTTAATGTGACTACTAGAAAATTTCAAATTGCGTCTGGGCCTACCATCATATTGTGCCCAGACATCACTCTAGTGTCTTTAATCCAGAGAGGACAGCTGAGGACCCAGGGCCTAGAAGGGGGAGTCTCCGCAGCGCAACCCCTACCCCTACCGGCACCTCACCCGGATCTCCACCAGCTCCTCCACGTAGTTGAACAGCAGAGGGTTGATCTCCCGGAGCCTGAGCACAGGCCGCGACACCATCAGCGCCAGATAGCGCATGCTGCAGCGGGACACCTGGGGGCACGACAGAGTGGCACCTCTAGCGCCACACCTCCCCCCAGCCGCTCTCCCCGCCCCCGTGGGCCTGCACCCGGCTCTGGCTCCTTTGGGCCATGCCCCCGCCCTCCCGCCCACACCTTGCGTGGCTCGAAGTCCCAGTTGTGCACCACCCGCGCAGGGATGACGGCCAGGTCGTTCCAGTGGCAATGGCTGCAGTAGTACTGACCGGTGTAGTCACACTGCCGGGCCTCGCTGGGCACGCCTCCTGTGGAGGGGGCGGGTCGTCACAAAGTCTGGGCTAGTTTCAGGGCTTGTCCCCCTGCTTACACCCACCCCCCCGCCCACATGCAGTTTCCACGTCATATGGTGCGTGGCCTGTGGCCCAGCTGTGCCCACAGCAAGCGGGAAAACAGCCAGCTGAGCGTGGGGTTCCACCATCAGGACCTCTGATTCAGCCTTTTCTCACTGCCTTCGGTTTTCTCATCAGTAAAATGAGACAATAGGACAGCCCCGTGGGGATTGCTGAGGGGACCCCATGAATAAACATCAGTAAATCTCTAGGAAGAAGGCCTGACATGCGGCACGTGCATGACTGCGGTGTGCTTTTCCTAGTCCCAGTCTAGGTGGGCTTTCGGTGACAATAGGGCCGCGCACGGGAGGCTGGGTGCAGGCCCAGTCCTGTGGTGTTCCTAGGTGCCCTGGGCTGGGGCCTCAGTCTACTGAGTGGGAAGCGCCGTGGCACCCTTGTCGCTTCCCAAAGAAAGAGACCCTGTCTGCAGGAGCCATGCTGGCCGTAGCTAGGGTTCACCCCATGTCCTCACGAGGCTGTGGGCCAGTTCCCCTGCCCAGAACACCCCGCCGACCTGTTCCTTCCCGGCACTCACGCAGCGAGATGGACGCGCGGCACTCGGCACATCGGTAATCCTGGCTGTCCAGCCCCGCCTCTGGACAGATGTTGAGCTCATACTCGGCTTGGTGGCTGACTTTGGAACGCACACAGGGCTTGGAGATGAGGTTCAAGCACTTGCTGTGACAGCGGTAATAACATCCTGGGGTTGGGGTGGGGGAGCGGAGCAACAACTGTGCCTCCTTGTGGCCCAGGCTGACCTTCAGCTGTGGGGACCCCCAGAGGGGCTCTCCGCTAATTCCCACACCAATCCAACAGCTTCTCATGCAGGACCCTTGGTCCCCATTCCCTGAGCCTTGCCCTGAAGGCGTGTGCAGACCTTGCCCCTGAACTCCAGATTCGAAAGCCCAGGGCCTAGCAGCCATTCAAAGGCAGGCTGCCTCGATGGGATTTTGTCTCTTTCTCACAGAACCCATCCCACACACAGCGATTCCATCTCAGACTTCAGCAACTCCACCGTCCTCCTGCTGACGCTAAAGATTGAGAACTCATCCTAGCACCTCTCTCTTGCACCCCGTTTCCAGTCATTCAGATAGTTCTTTGGCTAGTAGCCACTTCTCAACTCCAACCACACCCTCCTCACCAGAGGGCCCTCATCCGCTCAGTCCCACCTTTGCAGCCCTCCTTCTGTGCATGCTCAGCTCAGCAGCCAGAGTGACCAGTAAAACCTGTGTGTGGAGCAACTGCCGAGGCCGCCGGCACGCTCAGAGGGACCCCAGCAGCCTCGGAGCGACCCTCTCCCTCACTTCCTCTCAGAGGGAATGCTAAGCTACGCTGCCGTCCGCTCCTCATTGAACATGCCACACACACCTCCCCACAGGACCTTCCTCCACAGACAGACGACACCCGCCCTGCTCCCTGACCTCTGAGTTTCTGCTTCAATGTCAGCTGATACCTTTTCATTCCACCCTGAAGTCACACCCACCCCAGTCCCCAACACATGCATTCCCTTCTCCTTACTTTTCTTCACTGTATTATATATACTGCCTAACACACCACACCATTTACTTATTGATTTCTCATCCAGAATAGCACCTTCCAATGGAATTTTGTGCAATGATTGAAACCTTCTCTCCGTACTGCCCTCGTGTGCCTACTGAGCACTTGTGATGTGGATTCTACAGCTGGCAAACTAAACATTTATTTGAATGAATTTAAATTTAAGTTTGAAGAGCCATGTGTGGCTAGTGGCCCCCACACTAAAAGCGCAGGTGTGGACATGAGCTCAGTGAAGGCAGGGGTGGGAGTTTCATGCCTTGCATATCCCCGCCTGCCCAGGGCTCAGTGAATTCACCTGAACACAACGCAGACATGGCAGCAGACCTGCGGGGTCCCTACCCTTTCCTGGGATGCAACGGCCCACCCAGGGGAGTTGGTCTGGTCTTGGCTCACCTGTACAGGTATACCAGGTCTGAATGAGCCCCCAGATGATGGCATTACATTTGTCACAGGTCTGCTTGACACTCTTGCTCTTCTCCTTGTAGAAGCGATGCTCAAGAAGGACTCGAATGTTGGGCTCATCTTCATTAGGGTCCTGGAAAGAGGTCCGGGGAGGGGTCTTGGGGGCTGGGCTTCCCATGAGCCCTGCAGCTTGTTTCTTCCAGGCACCATTTGTAGCAGAGTTGTGAGTCTGTCCCATAGTCACACCCCCTTCTCTTTAGCAACAGTACATCGCAGTGATGAGCCAGGCCTGGACACCCAGGCTGCACACTCCCTTCCAGCCTCCTTGCACCTGGGTGCTGCCATGTTAGGGCATGTGAACAGGGCTGACCTGCTCCGCCCTTCCTGCCTGGTTTTCTGCTGGCTGAATGCAGACCCAGATGTGGAATGGGGCCATCTTGGATTCCCCCAGGAACTGGCAGACCAACAAAAAAGGAGGACCTGGGGTCCCCAACACCTTTAGCTGCCATATGGGCCACCTGTGGCATTTCTACATGAGTAAAATTACACATCGAATTCTTTTAAGCCACTGTCTTTTGAGTGTCTTTCTTACCACAGCCTTACCTACATCCTAAAGAGCATCCCACTTTCTGAATTCCCACAGACGGTGGCAGCCAGGCCAGAGTGCACACTCTTGAGGAAACCTGTGGTTTCTGCCTCCAGGGCCCACTATCTCCATTGTCATCACCTTGAGGAACCAGCCCTGAGTCATGTGGTTTGAGGTGGGACTTACCTCACCCACTTGCTCCAGTGGGTGAGCACGTGACCCAGGACTGGCCAATCAAGGTCAGGCTGATAGAGTAGCCTGCATGTGGAATGGGAGAGCCCATGCCTCTCCCTGCCTTTCTGGGTAGCTTCCTGCCTCAGCCGGTCAGCTCCGGTGCCTTCCACAGAGGGCCGGTCAGCACTGACCTTCAGCTCCTGGAGCTTCAGCCGGAGGTGGATGAGTCTCACTACAGCATCCTTCTGCCTCTCTGAGTGCTCAGGCAGCTCGAGAATTACCTGCTTGCACTCCTCAATCGCCTGCCGCAGCTGCTGGATGTCGGAGGCCAGGAACAGACCCTGGAAGGCGGGGGCGGACACACGAGTCAGATGCCTGCCTCCCTGCTCTCCTGTCCAGGCTGGGCTCATCCTCATGGACGGTTAGACCCAGAGCAGGCCTTCCGCCTCCACTTGCCCAGAAGGGGCCAAGGACTCACTCAAGGCCCAGAGATGTTAGCAGTGCGAGCAGGAGCCACCCCACACCACCTGCCCCCCAGCAGGACTTGCCTACCCACAGACTCTGCAGACCTCATTAAGGTTTTTCAAAACACAACTTCCTTCTTTTAGAAACTCACTTGCTTTTCTGGCTATGCTATTTCACTTACTTCTACGAAGCTTCCTCTTGGATGAAAGCTGGGGAAATGACACTCGCCTATTACGATGGAGAGGAAGTGGCCTCCCGCTTAATCACCAAGCCTAGAGGCACCTCAGGCACCTACCCACCTCCTGTCCCAGCACTTCACAGCAACCCAGGGTCGGGGCCCAGCAAAATCCCTGGACTCAGGACACCATTGCCGCTGGGGAAGGGAGACAGACTCAGGTCTAAGAGCTGGGGAGCTGGGGCCCAGGAAGGGGTGTAGCTGTTCTCAGGAGCCATCAGGAAAAGAGGCAAAACCCCTCTTAGAGGTCGGCGAGCAGCTCATAGGAGGGCCTCATAAACGGTACAATAAAGGGGCCGGCTGAGTGGCTCAGTTGGTTAAGAGCTCGCTCAAGAGTTTGAGCTCTGAGCAACAGCGGTTCGAGTCAGCCCGAGCTGAGCAGCCGCTGAGCTGCCAACAGGTGGCAGGATGGCTCAGCTATAAAAATAAATAATAATAATAATAATATAAAAAAAACACAAAAAAAAACGGTACAATAAAGATACGAAACACAAATGAAATACGTATCTGTATCTGCAAAGCTTAAAGGCCACATACAGGATGAAAAGTAGATTAGAACTTGGGGTTTTGAGGGGAATCTTTTTTATTTAAGTTATATTTGAATGTTACTGTAACGTTTCTCTCAAATAAAAGTTGGAGGCAGTTTGCATTAAACTAAAAGATTTTCAAACTTTTTGTTTAAATTCATCAAAGCCCATTCATTCATTCATTTGTTCATTTAAATACAGTTTCCATGGAGCAAAATACAGAACAGACAAGCATGGCCCAGCCGAGCTGAGTAGTGGTGGGAGGTGAGCATAGGGCTTCTCTGTCCCTCCCTCACTCTCGCCCTGAGGCTTGTCTGCAGGGTTCCCTAGGACCCCAGAGGGGTGAGCCTCACATCTGCTTCACGGCAGCCTAGAGCACAGGAGAGAGGGGCAGCTCTACATTAGAACAGCTGGCTTGCAAACCCCAGGTCCAGCCTGTCTCCACCAACCTGATGCTGGAGCGTGGGGTGACAAGGATGGTTGTCTCCCCACACGTTGGGTGCTCCCCAGTGTCCCCCCAGACCCTGAACCTTACCACAGGGCGGGAGAAGTGGTCCTCAGACAGACCGAGATCCATCACACGCTCAGCGCAGTGGAACTCCCCAGGGGACAGCTCTGGCAAGGCCTCTGGCATGGGGTGGAGGGTGACAGAAAGACAGAAGTCAGTCTGCCTTTCCCCCAGGAGGGGTTAGGGCAGCTGGGAGCAGAAAGAGCCCTCAGGGATTTGGGGAGCCCACAGGAGTTGCTGAGGGGAGCCTAGCCCTGACCTGGCATCTGCACCCTTGTGCAGATAAGAAAGAGCCATTCAAAAAGGTGATGCAGAACACACCCCTGGTGCTAAAAGAGGACACAGACCAGCATTACAGAAACACCCCAGTTTCTGAGCAAACCCCTGTGCATGCGTGCGTACACGGAGTTCAAAAAGGCACAGCGGGCTGCACCCCACAGCCAAGTCCCATGCGGACTCTACCTGCTGTCTGGCAGCTCCTGCTCTCACACGGCGCCCCATCCCCCAGCTCTCCACTCTGAGTTCACCCACTAAGTGGTCCCTGAATGCGTACCTGCTGTGTGCTGGTCCCTGGGCCACAGCAGTGACAAGACAGTCCCAAATCCCTGCCCTCAGGAGCGTTCATTCTAATAAGGGGGCAGAAGTAGGTAAACTGCAGAACAGGTGGACAGTGATTTGTGCTGTGCAGAAAAGGAAGCGGCCAGGACTGTGCCCAACTCTGTGGGAAAGCCAGCACCTCCACAGGAGAAACCGCTGGAGGGGAGGGGGCCCGAGTGAGGGGTCAGATCACACACAGAGGCCTCCCCCGCCACCCACCTTCAGAAGCGATGTCTGGGGCCTCCTCAGTAACCCCCTGCTCATGCTGCTTTGGTCCCAGCTGCTTGTTGAAGGGGTTGAGGTGGGCCTGCCGGAACCGGGCCAGCTTCTCATCATATTCCATAGCACCCCACCTGCAGGGTGGGGCGGGCAGGGGCAGAGATGAGCATCCAGCTCCCAGGGTCCCCGAGCTTCACCCCATCCCTGTGTTTCTGGGCTCTCAGAGGGGATGCCTGGCCTCTTTCACTCCCCAGAAGGGTCCGGGTAGAGCATCGCCACCTCACACAAGCCCCCACTGGTGGTGCCCCCTCAGTAAAAGCAATGCCGTTCAACATAGTCCCACTATGCAGATGGGACAAGCAAGGCTGGAGAAGGACTTGACCTATGCGAGGGTGGCCAGCCAGATGGTCTGGAACCCAGACCCCCTGCCTCCCAGCACAGCATCCTTTGGGCCCTTTACATACAGCCCAGCCATGCCCTCGCTGTCCACTGGGAGGGAAAGGCTAGACCGTTCCCATGACACTTGCCTCCCAGGACTCAGCTCCTCACTCCTGGTCCCCAAATTAAGGCACTCCTTTCCCATCAGAACACCCCAAAACCACAGCCCCTGAGTGCAACAGTCAGTGATGACCATCAGAGGGCACAGTGCTGGAGCCGATGCCAGAGCCCAGGCCTTCTCTGCCACCTGCAGCGCGGCCTCAGGCAGGGCCCATCTTTCCAGAGCCCCATGGAGGTCCCTGTCCCGGCCGGTGCCTCACTGGCCTGGGTTCCCGCTGATGCTTCCTGGGGCCCGGCAGTGTGTAGGGTCCCAGGCAAAGGGCAAGAGCTTTCCAGCCCAACACCTGGCACTGCTTTTTCTGCCCCAGAACTCACCATAACCATACTGGAACACACAGGGTGATGACTCCTGACAGAGAGGGAGGGGGTTTGGTTGGGGTAGGAGTGTACGTCCCAGGTCCCCACATCTAACTAGCTGGGCCTTAGCCTCTCTCTGCCTCCAAAGTGAGATGAGTTTGAAGGAAGTTGGAGAGATTTTTTTTTTTTTATAAGTTTCAGACTATGGGCCTCAGTGTTGGTTTTGCATTCTCTACACCATCTATAGGCTGAAATGATTTGTAATTATAAAAGACAATCCTATGACTCCTATCTGCTCCTGCCCAAGAAAGAGAACTGAGCCCGGAGGGGACAGCCCTGCCCAGGGTCACCCCCACTCCTGCCCAGTGCTGGCCATCCTACACCTGGGTCGGGAAATCCCATACCGCCTGTGGGACCTGTTCTGCCGGTTTGGCCTCTGTGGTGGGGATGTGGGTTGGTCCACTCTGGCAAAAACTAGCACCCATTCGTGGGTGAACCCAGGTCAAGACGGTGGAGGTCACAGGTGCCATGGCTCCAGCCTCCTCTCTCTTATTACCTGTTGGCTATGGGCTGCTCATGAGGGTGGCTGGGCCCTGATGCCCAGTGTTCCCCCAGATGACAGGGGCCAGAGTGGCCTAGGAAGTACCCAGAGTGCAGGAGAGACCCAGCTGCCCTGGGGTTCACTCACCCCTTCTTCCTGAGTGGTGACAAAGGTTCTGTGCTCGACCAGACTCCACTCAGGCTCCTGAGCCTTCTCCTAGGCCCAGCTGTGCCCTTCCTTGTAGAATCCAGTTTTAGCAAGAATCCTGCTAAGTCGGTTTAGCAACAGTCCCCCGGCCCTGATATCCGGTCACTGTCATACCTGATCAGGTTCCTGGCTCCTTCCCCCCACCCCGGGTGTCTGGCCGTGCTGACCTGGCTTCAGCAAAGATCCCTTAGGTCAGTTTAGCCAGAAGCCCCCTCACCCTTGATGTCTCCTTTCAGCGATTTTCCATCCATCGATCCCCCTGCCCCTTGGTTATAAATCCCATCGGCCCATGCTGCATTTGGAATTGAGCTCGGTTCTCTACAGAGGTCTCTCTACCTATTGCAGTAGTCCTGAGTAAAACCTGTACTTATGGTTTTAACAAGTGTCCAGGTCTGCTTTTCCTTTGCCAGCGGGGAGCCCTGACTTGGAGCTTATCACTTGACTCCCCAGCTTCCCTGTGGCTAGATGTGGTCATGTGACCATGCTCTGAGCCATGAGATGTAAACAAGGATCTCCCAAGACTTTCTGGGAGTTGTTGTAAAAAGGAGGGACCGCCCCCCTTCACTCCTTCCTGCCTGGGATGCAGACGTTACGGGGGGAGCTGGAGCAGCCCCCTTGGGTTGTGACATAGAAGCCCTGAACTGCATACCCCTGGGCTTCATTCAGATGAGAAAGACGCAAACTTCCTTTTAAACCAGTGGTGTGGGGAGGGGGATTTCTGTCTCTTGCAACAAACACAGATCCTGACCGATCAGCCCAACCGCCTGTGGTGACAGGACGGATGGCCCTATTCAAATCCCAGCTCTGCAGGCTCCTCGCTGGAGGCCTTGGGCATACGCCTCACCCTTCCTTTGCTTCAGGTTTCTCATGTTTCAAATGGAGGTTATAATAGCACGCACTGTACAGGGTTATTGCTAAGATTAAATTCATTAATGCAAAGTTCTGGGCACCCTGGCCAGCACATAGTAAGCATCCAAAAAATATCGGGTACAATTTATTATTATCATTGTCACTATTATTAAGAATCAGATTGCTCTGATTTAAACTCTGGCTTTCCCAGTGATGAGCTCTGTGACCCCATTTTCTTGCCCAGAAATAAGGGAGAATGCCTCCCTCCTGGGTGGCTGAGAGGACGAAGTAGTTGTATGTGACAGTGAAGCCCACTGCCCAGAGTTGCTACTGGGCAAACGGTCACTGTCATCACATGATGACCAGCCCCACCCCAGGGGTCTCTCCCTGGAAACCTCCCAACATTTTAAAATATGACCAGAGTAGCCCAAAGGCAGGAACACCTCAGCTCTTCCCAGCAGCTCCCCTCTGGGCTGCAAGCTCCCCTGGAAAAAGCATCTTGCATCCACCTCCTTACGGGCAGTGCCGCCCCAGGCCTGGCACAGGGGCCCCGGATGAGTGAGTAGGGTCACTTGTCCTCGCTCAGCCTGTTTCCTTTCTGCCAAGTTAGAGAATCATATTTCCCTCCGAGTCACCAAGAGGTCCTATGATCACCTCAGCCACCACCGGAGGTCCCCAGAATCCTTCCTGGAGAGGGCACGGGCAGGGTTACTGTCCCTTTAAGGGTTGTTTGTCACTGAAGCCTGGCAGGGTGGCCACTGCCAGCCACCCCCAAACGGTACCTCCTCACCTTCACCCACAATGGCAACAGGCAAACATACACTCTGGGGACCCTCACTAACCAGCCCACATTGGGGCAGGGCTCTTCCACCACCCCACCCATTTCAGGGGTGAGGACGCTGAGGCTCAGAGCGGCGCAGCTTCCGCGGAGGGCAGCATAGCCAAGGGGGTCCCCAAGGGCCTCACGAATCCCACAGGCAGTGCGCCATGAGGGCAGGAAGCAGTGACAGTGTCACCTGGGGGGCCATGCTCCGTCTGGGATGCTAAACCCTGCCGGAGCTGGGTGAGGGGCAGACGCCACTAACACCCCCTGCGCCCCTGGATGAAGACCGAAGGGTGAGCGTCCCAACCTGGCGGATCTGAACCCTCCTCGGCGCGGGCGGGCGCCGTGGGCAGGTCCCTCAGCCCCTGCGCCCTCGGTGTCAGTGTCGAGAAAGGGGGCTCCCCGAGCCCCGGTTTCGTCCACCCCAGCACCCCCGCCCCTCACAGACCCGCCTGGGCTCCCCCATCGCCGCTCACCTGACCGCCGCCGCCCTGGCTACATCGTAAGCCGCCTCACCGCCCTCGCTGCGCTGTATCCGGCCCCGCCGCCCGCTGCTGCCGCCTGCGGCCCGGAGGCTTATGACACGCGGGGGCCCCGCGTCTTCGCGCCGCGTCCCTCGCGTCTTGGCGGCCTCCACGTCCCGCTCCGCGAAATGGGTGACCATTCCTCGCGCCTGTGCAAGATGCGGGGGGGGGGACGGGAGGGGGGCGAGCGGGGCCTGCGTTTCCTAGAGTTTCCATAATAATGAAAGCCCTGGTTTAAACCGAATCCACTATACTTAAAAAAAAAAAACATGATGCTATTTACATTTTTTTAAACCCCAGTGGTTGAGGGGAGAAAAAAAGAAAGGGAGTCAGCGCGACAGCAGCGGCCGTCCCTGCTCGCCGCTCGCTTCCCCCTGCACGACCCTGCGGGGTTCACAGCGGGGGAGGCGCCGTCCTTCTACCCCGTTTCAGGAGGAGGAAGCCGGCACAGGGAGGTCCGGGGCTGCTCAGGGGAGGACACTGTGGGGGCGCTGGAGAAGCCTGCTTGACACTGTTGGCAGGCTTGCTAAACTTCCTGCACGTCACTGTTTTGTTTCTCTCTGGAGCCCTCATCACTGTCTTACACGCTGTTTACCTTCCTGTTGTCTGTCTCCCCCGCGAGCGCCACCAGAAGCCAAGGGCTGCAGGCAGGGGTTTTGGTTGCTTTCTCACTGCTTAGGACCAAGACCAGTCACTGGGCACAACTGATGGTTAAGCTCGGGGACTGAGGAGGGCAGACTACCTGGGTGAGGCCACCCTGAGAGGAGGAAGGCCCCTGCAGGCGGCCCTCTGCACAAACGTGTGTTAGCAACAGTTGGTGAGCTGGATCAGTGTCGGCTGACCCGCACCTTGGCTGAGGGCCCTGTGACAGCGGTGAGAAGACAGACAAGGTCCCAGTACTCTAAGAGCCAGACAGACTCTAAGCAAAGGTGCAGATTAATAAGAGACGTAATGTGCATCAAGCAGGAAATATGCAGGCTGACAAGGTCGGGGAGGAGGGCACTGTGCTGGAGCCAAGACACAAAGGTCAAGAAGGAGAGACCCACAGGAGAGCTGGGGAAGAGCCCCCAGGAGAGAGCACAGTGCAAAGGCCCTGAGGAACCGAAACAGCCTGTGAAACAGAAAGCAGGTCAGTGTGGCCTGAGTTTGGCAGAAGGGGAAGTGAGAGGAGAGGACCCACGGAAGATGTGAGAGGCGGCGGCCCTTTGTGAACACAGGCTTTGATTTGTGGTGAGCTAGGAGCCATGGGACGTTTCTTCTTCTTGACAGTTTTATTGAGGGATACTAGATGTACAATACACCTCACCTGTGTGAGCGTGCAGCCTAGGGAGTGCTCACTCATGCACACACCTGAGCGGCCGAGTGATGACCATGCCCGAGGCAGCAAACCTGCCCACCACCCACAAATGTTTCTTGGTGCCCTTTCGCAACCCCCTTCCCGTGCCCACCTCTATCCTCTGGCAACAACCAACCTGCTCTCTGTCACCAGTGGCATTTTCTAGAATTTCATAGTGGTGGTGTCCTCTGATTCTGTACTCTTCACTTTCACTCGTTTCCCTCATGCAGCATAATCCACGTTGTGGCGGGTGTCAGTTCATCCCGTGTGTGGAGGGACCACAGATGGTGTCACCCATTGATGAACATCTGGGCTGTTTTCAGTGTTTGCCTCAGTTTGCCCAGACAGAGAGTGGGTTCAAGTGATGCGTCTGCATATGCCGCGGGAGCGGTGATAGCAGCATCTCAGTGGGCACTAACCACAGACCACGTGTGGTGAGCCTGTGAAAACGGCTTTTGTAAATTAGCACCAAGGGTGCTCTCTGAGTCCACTTGGATGGGCGGCTACAACAAAACGACACAGACTGGGGTGACAGAAACAGCAGAAACCGCTTTTTCAAGCTGTGGAGGCTGGAAGGCCAAGGTCATGTGGCCAGCGTGGTCGGTGGTGGGGAGGGCCCCTCCTCTGGGATCCAGAGGCAGGATCTTCATGTTCTCAAGTGACGGAAGGGGTGAGGGAGCTCTCTGGGTCTCTCGGGAGGGTCCTAACCCCTCTGAGCTCATCGGGCCCTAACACTGTCACACTGAGGGCAGGATTTAACATGTGAATTGGGGGTGGGGACACAAGCATTCAGTCCACAGTTGGTGCAATGCTGAGCAGCCGTTTTTTTGAAACTCCAAGACTGTGAGAAATGTTTGCGGCCACACTAGTGGAATGGGTGCCTGGCTCCTGCCTGAGAGTCGGAGTCACGTGGTCACCTGCCCAACAGAAGGTGCGAGCTTCAGGTAGGGGTTTCCACACCAACACCCCACATCTGCTTTAACGCTGTAGTTCCCCCAGAAACGGTGTCCTGGACAGCTTCCAAATCCAGGTCTGAGGTGGATATCACACCCAACCCATGGGGATGCGACTTCACCTCAGTTTCGCCTGACTCCTCCATTTCTCTGAAGCCCAAATAACCACGGCTTATCCTGTTTTGGGGAGGACCCCGCCCCACTCCACTTATAGTCTGGGGGCAGTGACAGTGGCATCTGGTGTCTCTAAAAGCTGGGCTTTGGGCCGGCCAAGTGGCTCAGTTGGTTAAGAGCTCGCTCAAGAGTTTGAGCTCTGAGCAACAGCGGTTAGAGTCCAGCCCGAGCTGAGCAGCTGCTGAGCTGCCAACAGGTAGCAGGATGGCTCAGCTAAAAAAAAAAAATAAAAGCTGGGCTTTATCAGCACCCAGTATGCGTGTGCTCTCATTTGTTATTATCTAAGCAAGGAGTTTTCAAAGGATTTTTAAGAGCATAAGTCTTTTCTTTCAAATGAATCTATATGGAACTCAGCTCCTAAAACACAAGCAGTGACTTGTTCTTTGCAGCTGAGAAAAGTGCCCTAGAGAGGGGATGTGACCTGGCCACATGGGGAGAAGCAGACTTGAGGGTCATCTCCTTTCAATTCTCTCACCGTCCCCCCTCTCAAGCTGCCAATGTCCTCAGGGGTGGTGGGAACACGTAGTGATTTGGCCCCAATCTCCTCCATTCAAACTGTGGCCCTGCCACTTATAGCCTGTCTTCATGCCTCAGTTTCTTTATCTGTAAGCATCCGTGGATAGAGTGAAGGGTTAGGGTTAGGGTTAGGGTTAGGTTTAGGGTGTCTGAGGTAATGCTTCAGCAGTCAAGGCCCATTTGTTTCTCCGCCCACACTTCCAGGAGCCTCGGCACCTCATTTCCAGGAGCTGCTCAGAGGCTTGGCCTTGAGATAGCTGCAGGCTCTAAGCACAAGCCTGTCAGCCACCAGCCTTGGAGACAATGCCCTCTGCCCTGGCCCCACCTCCCTGTCTGCCCCTCTTTATCCTTCTGAGCCCAGCTTTCCAGAATAAAAAGAACTCTGAAGCATCAGACAGGGGTATCTGACAGCAATAAATTTATTAAGTATCTCCCCAAAATATGAACACAAACCAGTAAAAAAACCCAAACAAACCATAAAACATAAGACCTGGAGCTGACAATAAAGCAGAGACAAATGAGTGACACAAAAATGAAAATGACCTATGGCGGGAAGACAGAGCTGAATAGACTCAGGTGGGGTGGGGATGCTGTAAATACTGAAGGACACACACTCGGGAGCCGTAGGGTGACGTGATGGGAGCTGCTGGGGTGAGGCTGGGGTGGCGTCAGTAGCTCTGGCGGACAGACCTCTTGGCCCTGGCCATGGCCTGACCCCCGACCGCTGCTTCACTTGGGGCCCTGGGCCTCGGATTCCTCCTCATCATCTTCGTACATCTCACCCTCCTCCTCGGCCGTGGCGTCCTGGTACTGCTGGTACTCAGACACCAGGTCGTTCATGTTGCTCTCAGCCTCGGTGAACTCCATCTCGTCCATGCCCTCGCCCGTGTACCAGTGCAGGAAAGCCTTGCGCCGGAACATGGCTGTGAACTGCTCCGAGATGCGCTTGAACAGCTCCTGGATGGCTGTGCTGTTGCCGATGAAGGTGGAGGACATCTTGAGCCCACGGGGCGGGATGTCGCACACGGCCACCTTCACGTTGTTGGGGATCCACTCCACGAAGTAGCTGCTGTTCTTGCTCTGGATGGCCAGCATCTGCTCGTCCACCTCCTTCATGGACATGCGGCCCCGGAAGACAGTGGCCACGGTCAGGTAGCGGCCGTGGCGGGGGTCGCAGGCAGCCATCATGTTCTTGGCATCGAACATCTGCTGGGTGAGCTCGGGCACTGTCAGGGCGCGGTACTGCTGGCTGCCCCGGGCAGTCAACGGGGCAAAGCCCGGCATGAAGAAGTGCAGGCGGGGGAAGGGCACCATGTTGACCGCCAGCTTGCGCAGGTCAGCATTCAGCTGGCCTGGGAAGCGCAGGGAAGTGGTGACCCCACTCATGGTGGCCGACACCAGGTGGTTCAGGTCCCCATAGGTGGGTGTGGCTAGCTTGAGGGTGCGGAAGCAGATGTCGTAGAGGGCCTCGTTGTCGATGCAGTAGGTCTCGTCCGTGTTCTCCACCAGCTGGTGGATGGACAGCGTGGCGTTGTAGGGCTCCACCACGGTGTCCGACACCTTGGGCGAGGGCACCACGCTGAAGGTGTTCATGATCCGGTCGGGGTACTCCTCACGCACCTTGCTGATGAGCAGCGTGCCCATCCCGGACCCTGTGCCCCCGCCCAGCGAGTGGGTCAGCTGGAAGCCCTGCAGGCAGTCGCAGTTCTCACACTCCTTCCGCACCACGTCCAGGACCGAGTCGACCAGCTCGGCACCCTCCGTGTAGTGGCCCTTGGCCCAGTTGTTCCCAGCACCGCTCTGGCCTGTGGAGTCAGGAGTTGGCACAGAAAAGGTCACCCCTCCAGCGACTGCTGGAACATCCTCACCCAGAGGGCAGCTGTGTAAGTCCTGTGCCTGATTCCCCTCTACGAAGTGGGGATACCACCCCTCCTCATGCTCCCCACACTGTTGTGTTGGGGTCCCTGCTGCCCGGCTACCATATGAAGGGCACAGCTCCTTCTGTGCCTCACTTAGGGCTCCTAGGTGACTTCATCAGCCCTTCCCTCCAGCCCACCCACTATCTGGCCGGCAGTGCTGCAGACATGAACTACAACCCCCAGAGTCCCTTGCAGCTTGGGGGCTGGACATGGATTGTGCCCATCAGTCAGTTGGGCTTCTGAGCTCTGGAAGGCAAAAGTGGGGCAAGGCCTCCTTCATGTAAATGTGCCAGCACCCAGGACCCTGCCACCAGTCATGGGCATGAGGACCACCTGACCTCTTGATCCCAGTGATGCTGTGTTGGTGAATGCCAGTCCCACCAGCTCTCTAATGATCCCGTAAGCTTAACTCTGTTTCACACATAGTTCTTGAAATACACACTGATTTCTGTTCCCTGCACAGCATCCTTTCTCTGGGCCTCCACTGCCAACTGCAAAATGGGAGATCAGCTCTGCCTGCGAGGTTGCGTTGAGGGCACCTATGCCCTTTTGTGCCCGTTGATCTTGACTGGCCCATGATGGGGTTTGCCATCAATGTTGGACAGGGGAAACTCACCAAAGATGAAGTTGTCAGGCCTGAAGAGGTGCCCAAAGGCCCCAGACCGGACGCTGTCCATTGTTCCGGGCTCCAGGTCCACCAGGATGGCCCGAGGCACATACTTGTGAGCTGAGGGGAGAGGGGTGGCTTATGTGGGTCCCAGAGGCTCAGGGGCTCTTTTCCTGAGAGCTCAGACTCTGGGTCACAGAGGCTGGAACAATGTGTGAAAAGGAAACTGACTGGACAGCCAGGACCAAATCCCACGTCCACGTGGGTAGGTTAGCATTTCTCCAGCTCAGTATGGACATCACTTCACGCCAGTTGCTAAACAGCCCCTGCCCAAGCCCTCCAGGTCACCCCGGCTCCAGACCCTCCCATGGGCCCCCTAGGGCGCTTTTAGGACCCTGCTCAGCCCTGTCCATTCCTCTGGTGTGCATGTGTCTTGTGGCCATGGAACTTGTTTGAATCTCACTGTAGTGACATTTACTAAGATTCCTTGTCTTTATTCTGTGTGTGTCGTTATAGCCGCCAGCCAACCAAGAGGAGGGCGGATCCCAGGACCTGGCATCCAGGTGCCCTCCCCCTTCCCCCCAGTCAAGGGTGGGGGCTCACAAGAGGCCTCGTTGTAGTAGACACTGATACGCTCCAGCTGCAGGTCTGAGTCTCCGACATAGTTTCCACTGGGGTCTATCCCGTGCTCATCGCTGATCACCTCCCAGAACTGCAGGGAGAAAGGAGGGGTCAGCAGGTGGCCATGACCCCCACCAGGCCCTTTCCCTCCCATGGCCTCGAAGCCCTGGGTGGAAAATTAGGGGCTTGGACCCAAAGTCTACACTAGCCCCTTTGAGAGACTTCGGGAAAGAGCCCAAAGCTCTCATCTATCAGAAAATTGTGGCAATAACATCATGTCCCCAGTTCCTGAAGCCCTCAGGGCGGTTCAAGGCCCAGCCCACAGACCCAACTCTGCGCTTGCTGCTCAGGGTCAGTGACCAACACCCTCTGTGGGTGGCTCTTATTATTCCCTATCAGATGAGGAAACGGAGGCACAGAGAAGGTAAGTGACAGAGACAGGGTGTAGGCTCCACATGCAGAGGATGTGCAGTGACAGGGCCCAGCAGCCTCAGCCATAGGAACCACAGGAGCCCCGAGGAGGAGCTTGCCTGAGGTCACCCAGCCTGTCAGCACACAGCCTGTTCACACACAGCTGGCACAGCCCTAACTGCCAGGCCCACTGCCGACCCCCTCGGGTGGGAAGCCACAGCACTTCTCATGCTCTGCTCCCACGACTGCCACAGGCAGGGGGCAGGCCAGGGCTTCCACTCAGGAGCTGGACCACCCCACCCAGCTGTGAGACCTTGGGCAGGTCCCGAAGATGCTCTGTGCCTCAGGGTCCTCATCTGTTCAATGGACCTGCTGATGAAAACAGGCCACTGTGAGAATAAAGTGAGTGATCTGTGAACACGGGTGATTGGCATGTGGCGAGGCTAGTGCTGTGTGCAGGAATCAGGACGTGTGTCCACACAAGGACCTGTGCCCTGGGGGGAGGGAAGGCTGCACAGAGCCCTGCCCTTGCACCTGGGGCACTTCCCGTTGGCCCACGCAGGCAGGAGGTCACCGGTCACTGGTCACACGCGGTGTGACTTCCCGGTGCCCCTCCCCCTTACTCCTCAGTGGTGGGGTGACTTTCAGAAGATGAATGGGTGTGAAGTCGGCTGAGCAGGAGTCCTGTGCTGGGACAGGCTGCCTGGTTACAGAAGCAGTTACAATACAGTCTCATGTGCTCATCTGTGTGTAGGTGTCCCCGACAGACAGCTCCCGGCAGCTGTACGTGGGCACGTGGCCCAGGCTGGGGGAGACACGTCTCTCTACAGTTCACCCTTTGGAATTCTTTTGGAATTCTTTGTCACGTGCACATGTTACCTTCACACACAAAAAAAGATTAATGATAAAACTGTTTAAAAACCTGAAAAGTATGAACAGTGTCATTATTATAAAATGCATAGAAGCACCTTGGCGATGCACCAGAGAGGCTGTTCTCAGAGGTCAGAGGTCGCCTTTCAGCAACATAAGGCTGGATTCCTTCCCTGTTTTGTACATTTTTGTCACTGCTAAAGTTTTCTTCTTTTTGCATTAAGTGTGTGTTACTTTTGTACTTAGAAAAATTAAACATACAGAAATGTCACTGAGGCCTTCAGGGCCTGGTCAGAGCTTCCTGTCACTGCCTTCCTTCCCCCTGAGGCTGTCCATGAGGATGAGCCTGGGGCCTCGGTCCTCACAGCCCTGCAGCACCCCAAAATCTGGCTTCAGGAACAACCACAGCCTCTGTAGAAGAGGGGTGAGCTCAAGACAGCAAGTGTGGGGCCAGGAGGGTGACCCAGGTACCACGTCATCAACATGTCTATGGGAAGCATGTTCTTCCGGGGGCGACAGAACACAGTGGGTGCAGACCCCAGCATGGGACAGTGACTCCAACTCTTGGGGCCTCAGCTTTCTCAGCTGTAAAGTGCACACGATAATGACACCCACATCAAGTGGTTAACATAAAAGCATTCAGCAAATGTTGGCTTTGTTAAGTAAGCAAAAAGGCCTTAGATGCTTTTTCAATTGGTAAAGCCATATGCACAGATAACAAATAAAAGGTGGCTTTAAAAAGTCAATATGCTTTGGAATACTGTGGCACAGTAAAAGATCATCAGGGACACGAGAGCTCCAAGGTATATACCCTTGAGGGAAAAGGCACATTGAGCAATCACATACAGAGTAAAAAAGGAAACCTCACGACAGTCTTCTACAAAGCCGTGTGCGCATGCGCAGAACTGGGACTAGACGACCAGAAAACAGACCTGCCCGCTGGAGGGGGTGCCTCGAGGGGGCAGGTGGTTACATGGGCACTTTAGCCTGACCTGCAGTGTTTCAATATTTTAGAAAAGGAACATATTAATAATTGCTTTTGTAGTTAAAACTAATAAAATTACAATTTAATATAGTAAATAGAGATCTTATTAGTGAAATAGATTATGTAGCAATAAATAAAATACAATTTTGTAAATGAAATAAGAAATCATTATGATCACCACTACAGATGAGAAAGATGCCAGATGGCCGCGGACTCAGGGTCCAGGCCACAGCTCCCATTTCAGACCCCAGGTTTGGGCTGGTGTTTGTGGGCGGGTCCCGCCCTGCGCCAAGGGCGCTGTCCTTGGTGCTGATCACTGACGGCGCTGCTCAGGAGCCCAAGGCAAGGGGGTGCAGCGGCTCCCTGGAGGGAGGGCTGGAGGCTCAGGGGCAGGGGCGTTGAGCCCCTCCAAGACCCCATGTCTTTTCACATCCCACTCCACCCTCCCATCCTCGCAGAGCGAGCGCCACCGCGACCCATTCAGCAGGCGCCGGGGCAGGGGGAGGGTGCGAGGAACCGGAAACCCCTCCTCCCTGTGGCCCCGCCCTGAGGAGGGGGCGCAGACAAAGGCTGCAGGACTGCTCTGCCTCCCTAGCGGAGGAGGGAGGGGTCCTGGACTCATCTGCCCAGTTGTGGGGGGTCGGGTACCCCGTGCTCCTGCTGTATCCACACAGATATAGATTCAAACTCCTGCCCCTCCAGGCAGGTGACTCAACTTCCCCGGGCATTGAGTTTTTTCGTCTTCGGGAGAAGGATGACACCGGCCTCACAGCACCCTGGTGAGGCGATGAGAGTGAAGCACCTGACTGGCTGCTCAACAGGTCGTGGTCAGGACAGGCAGGTCCTCTCCTAGTCCCAGAGGGTCCTGACCACCCTCCACCCCTCCCGCCCTCCTCAGAGTGGGCAGCCTGATTCAGGCAAGGAGTCAGCAGGAGAGCAGCCTCCTTGCCCACCCGTCAGCTGCTGCTGGTGGGGGCAGGAAAAGTGTGCCCTCCCCCTCCCGCGGAAACAGAAATGGCCAAGGAACCGCCCGTCCACAGATCAGAGGGTTAGGGCAGGCGAATTCTCCACACGGGGGCGGGGTGGGGGGATTTGTATCTGACCACGTTCTTCACGTTTGGTCTCTGGAGGCTTTCCCGGGCAGGGAGGCCGGAAGGAAACTGCCCAGATGCTGCCACCGAACACCACAAAGGGCAGCGACCTCTGTCTTGTTTGATTGTTAAAAAGGATCAGATATTAATTTTTAAAGCAAACATAAATTAATAAAATCAACGCGAAAGGAATAAAAACTGACGAGCAAACCCAAGGGTCACAAGCGCTGAGAAGCAGGGAAAAAAATCTCTGCGGAGTTCAGTGTGGGGAGCGGCAGCGGAGGTGCGGCCCTGCCTCGGCCAGACTGCCGGTCCCAGTCACAGGAGGCGGGGCATAGCTGCACCACCTCTCCACACCCCCAGGCTCAGGCGGGACTCGGGGCTGCCCTCCCTTCCCGTGACCCCTGGCCCTTCGAGGAGCAGATGTTCAGGGCAGGCCTGGCCCCTGTGACATTAATGAGCTCTCGGCCCCTCCTGCCTGGCCCAGGGCAGCTGTCAGCGATTGCCCCAGGAGCCCTGATTTGATTTGAGGCCCTAGTCCCCGAGGCCGCCCCCTCCCCCCCTCCCCCCAGCTCCTTCCTGAGGCAGGCACAGCTGTCTCCTCGGTGGTTAGGAGTCTCCCACTACCGCCTCTCCCACCCCATCCCAGGCGCCTCCACCCTAGAGCCCATGTTTCAATTTATATGTCAGCCACGTGGCTGCCCCAGACCCTTTGTAATTAGCTTTTTGTTCTTGCCTCGTTTCCATGGCAACATCCTCCAGAAGAAGCCTTTCCTCGGCCCCTTCCCCTCCAGGACCTGTCTCCACCCCCGCCTCCTTTGGGGACCAGCTAATCACCATCCCTGCGCTGGGTCCCTGGCCTTGGTCCTGACAATGCCACCCTCTTCCCGCGAGCTGCACTGAGGAAGCCAGGCCCGCAGGGCCGCACCCACCCCGCCTGGGCCCCGCACTGGGTGTCCGCAGGGACTTGCTGTGTGACCTTGGACAAGGGACAGCCTCTCCGGACTTGGAGACGTGCCACCTCCTCTTCCCGCCTGAACCCCAACATCTGTGAGGTGGGCTAACAGCGGAGGGGAGGGGCCGCTCCTCACTGAGCTTTCCAAGTCTGGAGCCCGGCTTTGTTCCCATGTCCAACCCCCAGACTCGCGGTCCATCCCCGCGGGGTTTGCCCAGGCGGGGCTGCGGAGAGGGAGAGCACAGTACTGGACCAAGGTCACTCGGAGTCCGGCCCAACCTCTCCCTCAACAAAGGAACACGGTAGGGCCAGGAGGCCGAGTAATCAGAGCGAGAGGTTGGGGGCACCGGGGCGGCTCTGGCCTCTGGGAGGACCTCCTGTTCCTGGGGGCCAGGAGGGCAGAGGGAACCACTATGGCTTTGAGGAGGGAGCCCCACCCAAACCTGCCCACCCCACCATCTCGCTGAAGGCTGAGTTGCGTGCGACCCTCAAGAAGAGGGCCACGCGCGGCCAGCGCCCCAGCTGCACCTGCCACGGCCGGCGACGGAGGGCGCAGCTGCGGAGGCAGCGTCGCCGCGAACTCGCGTGGCGGTCGCGCAGGCCCAGGGGACGGGACCGGGGCAGGGGAAAGGCGCGGGTGGGAGCGGCAGGGCGGGCTCGTCGCTTTGTTCTCGGCTTCGCAGTGGCGAGTGCGGCTCAGGGGAGGGGGGACGGCGCCGCCCCGCTGCCCTCCCTCGGGGGCGGCTCGGGTGGGGACGCGGCAGGCGCGCCGGGCGCGGGGTCCGGCGCGTGGGGGCGGCGCGCGGCCTCACCTTGGCCCCGATCTGGTTGCCGCACTGGCCGGCTTGGATGTGCACGATCTCCCTCATGCTCGGTGCGTGTGGCGGGCGGCTGCGGAACGCGCGCGGACTGCCGGGCTGGCTGCGGAGGGTCTGCCGCCCCCGCCACCCGCTCTTATAGGCTGGGCCCCGCCCGCCACGCCCTGCGTGGCGTCACCGCGCGCGGCCAATCGGGGGCGCTGCCGCAGAATGCGGCACCGGCGCTGCGGCATCGCTCCGCCGCCGCCGGGGTCTGGGCCCCCCTCCCCCCCCCCCCCTAGTTTCACATGGACACCCGACATAGCGTCCCCCCCCCGCTTACCCGAAAGGAGGGGCTGGCGGGCTCCAGGGAGGACAATGAAGTCCCCTCGCCCTCGGACCCCGCCCCGGCCGCGCTCGCCGGTCCCACTCCTCGGCTTTGCAGAGGAGAGTCTTTCTTCCCCACACCCGTTTAGGGACCAACCCCATCTTCCCACCCCAAAGGTCGAGATGGACGCCTCCCAGCTCCTTGTCTTGTGGCATGAAGGGACAGACAAGGTACTCTGAGCTTTGCAGGACCCCTTCGGGGCGGAGGAGGCAGGAAAAGGCTGCAACAGGCGCTGGAAGCGGGCACGGGGCAGGGCTGAGAAATGCCTGCGTCACGGGGTGTGGGCACAGGAGGGCGTTGGCGGGCGACCACGGCAGCTCTGAGCCTCACTGCCCTCTGCAGTGGGGGATGATGGCACCTGCCGCTCCTCCTCCAGGGGGCTGCCGGCAGATTCCAAATGGATCTTGCCTTGTACCCCCACCAGGCACAGCGCCTGGCACGTAGCAACTACTCAGTGAATATTGGTTTCAGGAATTGTCATAAGAACACAGCCCAGTGAGGGACCGACAGGTTGGGGGATGGTGTCCAGTGGTTTCTATCTCACCCCATGATGTCACCTGTACGTCTGGACTCTTGGTCCAAGTGAGGCCACAGTGAGGGGGCTACTAGGGAGGTGGCGTATGCACAAGGGCGGGGTTCTTGGAGGAAAACCTGGGAGAGTCCACTGGTCAGAAGGGAGGGAGGGAGGTAGGTGTGCAGCATAGACACTAACTGTACCTGCAAACACAGCGGCTCTGCGTTCTCCTGGAGTCAGACTACGGGGAAGCCATCTGGTAATAAGGCCCTTCTGATATTTCAGGAATGAGCTTTCCCAGAAAGGGCGCCCCACAGCAGTCGGCAGAACCAGCCCGTGGGTGTGCGTGTGTGCAGTGTGTGCTCAGGACTGGGCTGGCATGGTGCGGCTGTGTGCATGCCCATCTCCCTTCCTGCAGCCCCCCAGGTTGGCCAGTCTAGAAGTGGGTCTTTTGTTCTCAAGAGAAGCCCCTCCCCCACAACGTGTCCATGATGTGCTTTTCTGTGGTTGGCTTCCAGCCACCTGGGGCCCCGCCCTGTCTCCCCTTTGAGGGGCTCCCTGGTGAGCATTTGGCTCTTCCTTGGAACTGGCTGTGCCTCCCTGTCTGAGCAAAAACAGCTTCACAGCATCCTGTCAGCCAGGACCCATCCCTGCCTCCCTGGGGCAAAACTGGCCCCTCTCCAACCCCAGAGGGCTCTGGTGCGGGTTTAAGGCTGACTCACTGTCCTGTCTCCCAGCAAAGGCTGGCTCTGCCGGGAACTAGCTCCCAGCCCTGAGACCCACAGTCAGCGCTGGAGCGGCCAGCGTGGGTGGGGCACTGGCCAGCTGGGGGGCTGCAGGAGTCGCTAGAACCGCCCTGGAGTTGGCTGGTACCATCAATTTGCCTCCACTGAGCCTGTGCCAGGAAGGTCGACTGAGTGCTCAGTGCCTGTGCAGGAGATCCAGTGCGCTCCTCGGTGAGGGGCCCAGGGCTGCAGCAGAGGGTGGAGCCAAGGCCTCCAGCAGCAGGCAGCACGGTCCACCCCAGATGCCCACTCCCGGGACTTGGACCTTGCTGGACAGCTCCACCCCATGCAGGAGGCCTTGCCTCAAATACCTCCCGAGGCTGGCTGAGCACTGACCCCTCCAGGACGATATTGCTGGGGGAACAGAAACCCTAGCCCCCACTCCATCTGCCCCATGTGCCCCTCAGATCAGACGTGGAGGGGCCAGATGGTCTGGCCAACGTCACACGAGTCACAGTGGCTCTACATCTGCTGCAGCTGAGGGCGGGCTGGGCCGTGTTGGAGCCTGTCACCATGGTGGTGATGGGTGCAGGGTAGCCGCTGCTCCCTGGACTGGGGATTGCATGTAGAGACGGCAAAGACACAGGATAAGTAAGAGTAGCCGCAACTGGGGTCTCCATGCGCTCCCCTTGGCGGGGCCCTCTGGCTTATTTGCAGGCCGGCCACAGTCTGGCACTTGCTCTCTCCCTCATCACTTCCACCCCCGCACCCCTCCCCTGAGCCTCCACCCTCAAGCTTCAGGCAACTCAGTGAGGGAGCCGATGCGTGGCAGTGAGGCTGAACCAGCGCAGCATTTATTACCAGACTGCTTTCCAGCCCTGAGACCCTGGGGCTGCTCACAGTGAGCGAGCACTGGCCACGCTGCCTGCCAGGCGCCTGTGGTGCTAACAGACGGGCTGAGCCCCAACTCAACGGTCACCACGAGCCTTAGAAGACATCAGCCACACCCTGCCACTGTGGCTCCTGCAGACACTTGCCCCCTGAGGCTGGCTGGGTCTTGCTGGTCACAGAGTCCCTTCTGAGGCCTCATTGGGAGCAGCAGCCCTGATGACGCGTCACATCCCTGTGGGCCAGGCTCAAGTCAGTGGAGTTGGGTGCATCCCCCACAACTGCTCCTGGAGAACCGTGCGTATTCCTTTGGCCCCAGAGGGTCTGTGCATCCACACCTTCAGAGGTCAGCTAGCCCGTCTGCTTTGACAAGTGACTGCCCTGGCCACACAGGCCCCGGGCCGTGTGGTGTTACCCCCCACACCAGCAGCACAGCAGCACCTCTCGGAGTGTCTTCCGGAGCTCCTGGCTGCGGAAGGCGTAGACGAGGGGGTCAGCAATGGCGTTGCACACGATGAGGACCAGGAAGAGGTGGGAGTTCTTGAAGATGCAGGTGCAGGTGGGGTGCTGAGGACAGAGGACGGTGAGTGAGAGATGCAGGAAGAAGGGGCCCCAGCAGAGGAAGAAGATGCCCAGCAGGAGGGTGAGGGTGGCAGCGCCCTTGAGGCCGGAGCCCTGGTGGGTGGGGTGCCGTGTCTTGTGCAGCTGGGCGATGCCACGGGCATGCTGGCACGCCCTGGTGAGCATGTGGACGTACAGCACCGCCATGAGCACCAGCATGGCTACGAAGAAGCTGACGAGACAGAGCAGGACAGCCGTGTGGGCATAGTAGGTGATGAAGAGGCTGCTGGAGATGGCGCTGGCCACCCAGATGGCCGCGATGGCCCGCCACACCCGCGGCCGCGTCACAATACTGTGGTACCGCAGCGCGTAGAAGATGGAGATGTAGCGGTCCACAGCGATGGCGCCCAGGAAGCAGAGGCTGGACACCATAGAGCCACAGACAAGCACGTCGATGACCACGTCCAGCTGCTGCACGACGGCGGCCCGGGCAGCCAGGGTGCCAGCCTCCAGCAGCTGCGTGACGGCCGTCTCCAGCACGTTGCTCACACTCACCAGCAGGTCGGATGCAGCCAGACAGCAGATGAGGAAGTACATGGGCGAGTGCAGGTTGCGGTTCCTGGCGATAGCGGTCACCACCAGCACATTCTCCACCAGCCCCACCAGCCCCAGGCTGAGGAAGAGCCCGTCGGGAATGTACACCTCCAGGCAATGGGGGCCTGTCCGGTTGGTGGCCAGCCCGAGGTGGGAGGTGGTTGAGGGGGTGGAGTTGAGGACATCCAGCAGCCTCTGGGGCCCCTGCATGGGCATAGTCCCTCCAGCAAGCAGGAGGGGGTCCTCCATCCGCAGATGTTCCCCTCAGCTCATGGTGCCACCCTCACATTCACCCTCTCCCTGGCTGGACAAATGTCAGCCCAGGGATGGCCCAGCGGGAGAGACCCCAGCCTTTCTACCAGTCTGGTCGCTTCCCAGCCAGGACCCCAAGCTCTGCAGCACCAACCCTCTGCCCTCAGTCCACCTGTTCCCTGGAGGTGCGGTCACTGCAGTCCTCATGGGTCTGCCTCCTGCCTCCCCAGGTCAGGAGTGTGCTGAGGTCTGGAAGAATGGAGCCTTTCTTCACTTCTTTAAAGTCGTCCCTGGAGCCCCTCCTCCTGAGGGCAGCCACATGATGGGCGTGTGCCTGGGAATGCACCCTGGCCTGCCGCTAGGTGGAGCAAATGGCACCTGGGGCTGTCCTGGCATCCAGGGCCCCCAGACTCCTGGGGGGACATCTCCGCTTCCCGCTCAAAGCCACTGCAGCCTGGTTGGCCTCACCTGTGCTCAGCCAGCCAGTGCTCCCAGTCTGGCCTCTGCTGCAGGCATCTGTGCATGTGGGGCATCCTTTGAACCTGCCCGAGACTCCCAGCCCTCCTCCAGGAAGCCCTCCTGCTGCCCCTCCACGCCTATCTGATGCTGCTCTGCCTTGGGAATGCTCATTGGCTGTTGACTGTCCATCCCCAGCCCTAACGCCTAACCCCCCACCCCATGTTAGATGTTCTCCGAGGGCAGCCCCTGTCCCAAGGACTCCCAGTCCTTTTGCTGAGTGCTGCCGGGGGGCACCCAGGTCACCTGGGCTGCAGGAGCCTCGCTCTTTGTCACCCGGGTGGAGGGGCAGGGACAGAAGTGCCAGCCCCATTTCCTTTGTGCCAGGAACCACCTTCCAGACAGCCTGTCTCTGTCACTGCGGGAGCTGGGTCAGCAGTGCCCCACGGACCCAATGGCCCCATTCCCCTGCACCCAGCACTCGCTCAGAGGACCGTGCCCTCTTCTGAAGGCCCAGGTGTGTGTGTGTGTGTGTCGTTCCTCCATCGACAGGTGGCGAGTGGCTGGTGGTGGTGGGGAGCCTGAGGCAGGTCTGTTTTGAGCGTATCTGTGATGCGCCTGCCGGGCGGGGTCCCTTCTCGCCCACGCTCCTAGCTGCCAGATGGCCTCCGAGGGGCCCACATGTGTGAGCACAATTACTAGCCACTTATGGTATCAATCACTGCTTCCATCTGCACAACTTACAAAGCTCTCTGCCCCCTTTTGTTTTGAAGCCTGTCACACATGAATGTGCACACATTATAAATATGTAGGTTGGTGGGTGCCCCAGTCTGAACACAGCCAGGACAGCAGCACCCAGGTGGAGTAGATGAGACGGTCATCGCACCGAACACCCCGGGGCCGTCCTGCCCATTTTGGAACTGTCTATGCCCGGACCAGGTTCGTGCCTCCCCCTCAGCACTGAGATATCCTTGAGCTGCGTGGAGCAGCCGTCAAGGCGTCCACCACGGTGGCACTGGGGCAGCCCCCCCCCCTCCGTAAGTGCGATTGGGCACCTTTGTCTCACAGGCCTGTTCCTGCTGGGTGACACCAAGAATGGCTTCTGTGCTCAGGTTGTCAGCTTTGGTGGATATGGTCAAACTGTTTCTCAAATCGGTGGCCCTGCCTGCCTGTTTCTGGCAGTGCACAAGCCCCCCTCCGTGCAGGATGACAGGCCTCGCCCACGTCCCACAGGAAGCAGGCACACCCCTTCCCGCTGACCTCCTGGTGGAGAGCCCCAAGGGAGCTCCGGGTCCCAGAGTTGGTCACGAGGCAGAGCTGCGGCAGAGGAAGGGGTCCCGGCAGCAGGGAGGGGCTGGGCTGGCACCTCCACTACAAAGTCCTAGGACCAGCCCTGCAGCTTTCCATCCCCAAGGGCCACCTTCCAGCCCTGGGGCGCCGATGAGCATCTGCTGGGCGGCCCCCAGCCGCTGTGTCATGACATTTCAGGGATGTTAGCATTTCCAGCTTTATAAATGAGGCCTTTGAGGTGGCCAGTGCCCCCCACCCCCAGCCTGAGACTTCAAAGGGCGTGAGAACCGGACAGCCTTTGGCAGGCGCCCACAGCCCTCTTCCTGCTGAGGCCTCACGACTCCCCATCTGGTTCTCACTGGATTTGCCCGCTGGGGACGCCATTCGAGGGAGGCAGCAGGTACAGTCGAGCTGGAGAGTCATCTCTGTGATTAGTTACGGTCACGGGGGAAACATCTAACATCACAGATAATCCTAAGGCCAATTATATCACTCCATCACCAGTGCCCCTGGGAGAACTGAGTGACGGCCAGGAGACAGGCGTGGGCACGTCCTCTGAGCACGGTGCCACATGAGACAATGTTCCACCCCCACTGAGGTGGCTGGGAGGACAGGAAGCCTCTTGGTCCCAGCACCAAAAACAGTGCCAGGCACACAGCAGGCCTGCAACGTGCAAGCTTTGTGTCGAGTGAGCTCCGTAGGGACAGCGGGGCACCAGAAGCTTCTAACTGGAGTCGGGGGTGCCTGTCTGTCAGCAGGAGGTGGTGGTCACTACCTGACCACAGGGCCCAGGCTGACCTGATGGTGCTTTCGTCACAGAGGTCCCGAGGGACAGCCATGCAGGGTGTGCAATCTGTCCCTCCTAGCTCGTCAGTGGAATCTCAGAGAGGGCTGGTACAGCTGGGTCGCAGTGTCTTGGTTCGAGGATGGTCTAGTTTTCTTTGAACTTGGGGGGAGGAGGGAGATGGCTTATGTGCCCACCCTGTGCTGCCTGCGCTGAAGACCCTGAAGGGGGGGTCTGACTTGGAGGCAAAAGGCACAACTGATTAGCCATCCTGTCCGTGGGTGGCACAAGGCCTGGGAGGGGCTGATTCACCCTGGACACTGGGTGTTGACATGTGGGGGCCCATGCTGTTTTCTCACCTCCAGCAGAAATGCTGCTACAATGACATAAGCCCGAGCGCTTTCGTCACAGCCTGGGCCCAGCCTCTCATTCACTACCCTCTGGATGCGGGCTCTTCAAGTTCACCAGCTCCTGGCTGCAAGACGGCTGCTACTGCTCCCGACATCACATGCCCGTCTGGGTGCCAAGCTCTCCTTGCTCACATCATTTTCAGAGAACAAGCCCATTCTCAGAAGACCCCCAGCAGACTCCTCTTACTGGCTGACGTGAACCTCAGGCCACCCTCAGGGGCACGTGTGCATGGGGGACAGACTGGAATTGTGGCAATCATACTGGACCCGGGGCTGGGTGTAGGCCCCTTCCACCAGATCGTTACAGCGAGGAACGAGGTGTGGGTGCCAAAATGGACAGACCTCACGTCTGCAGGGCCCTGTCCTAGCCAGGCGTGTTCAAAGCACAGAGGCTACTGCTGACCCTCCAATACCGGAAGCCCCCCAGCTGGGAACTGCTGAAAGGATGACCTCCCCAGTGGGTGACTCCACGACAACTACAACAGCTGGGGACTCCCTGGGAGGAGGGCTGATGGACCAGGACTCGGGCAGGCGCTGATGGGAGATGACTGGCCTGCATTTCCAGCCACACGGCCAGCCTGGGGCCCAGATCCTGCCCTGTGGGGCACATGGGCAGGGCCTCTTTCAAACCCCGTCTGCTGCCTCTGAGGTGGAGGTCAGGGCTGGGAGGGTGCAGTGGACAGGATACCTCCAGTTCATGACCTCAGTGCCCTGGACCCTTCCAGAACCAAACAGGCCCCTAAGTCACAGGCAGCCGTGTGTGTCCTCAGCTGTCAATCAAATGTGCAAGGATCAAATGCCCCCAATCTCTGCCCTGTGTACTCCCCAGAGCTGCCAGACCCACCTCTCAGGCTTCTCCTCGACTCAGTAAAACCACTTGTCAGACTAGACTGACTGCACCTGCTGCCCTGAGCCAGCTGTCCCAGGTTCCAAGGGGACGCACTGGGACGTACCTGCTGTGCACTGACCCCAGCCGTGGGAATGGAGCTCAATGCACGCAGGGAGAAACGGGAGGCAGGTGGACGACAGACACATCAGCATTTCTACTTGAGGGGTCTGGCTGATTTCGGCCAGACAGAAATCAGGAACATAATTGCACAGCATGGGCACAGCGTCCGCTCCGTTCAGTCCCACTCCCCGTCCCCCTCGGGGTGTTCCTCGCGTGGTGCCTCCAGGTCGTGGAAGTGGAAGTTGGCCATCATATCTCGCACAGCCAGCATCAGCCTGTTCAGGCCCTGGTTATGGTCCAGGCCCTCGGCCCCTCCGTCCTCGGGCCTCTCACCCTGTGACAAAGAGGCTCGTCTGAGTAGGGCCATCTTGGAACAGGGCCCAGCACCCCCACCAAGCTCACCCCGGGACCCTGTTGAGAGAAGGGCCTCAGAAACCACACACGCAACAAGGCTAGGCCACCAGAGCGCGGTCCAGCAGCCACGCTGTCTCCATGGCAGCCATAGTCTCAGGTGGGCAAGTCCAGCGTCCTGGACAGGCTGGGGGCCCGAGCTGCTGCTGCGCTGGCTGCTGGACATTCACAGCTGAACCCAATTAGCAGGGAGAGGCCAAGATGTGCCCACATACCTCCATGGTGTAATTTGGCAACAATGACCGAAAGAAGAGAGCAATTGTGTTTCCATGACTGACAGGACTCAGCCTGAAAGAGAAAGTCGCCCACGGTCAGAAAAGGAAGCTGAGCCCACACCTGTGTTCCCTCACTGCCGTGGCAGGGACAGCAAGGGGCCAAGCAGGGGTCTGGACCCCTAGAGCAACCGGGGACGGCTCAGGCCAGAGCAGGAAAGGGAGTCGGGCATGGGCGCTGGCCCCAGCACAACCAGGCTGGACATCTGCCACTGCACAGGTGCCCTGCTTTTAAGAAAAGCTGTACTTCCTCAGTGTCCAGCACTTAAGAGTTGAGGGAGTCTCAGCAGGTCACAGAAGGTTCTAGGGCACACACGTGCTAGGTGAAGACCCCTCCTGGTGACGTGAGGTACCTCAGCCCAGCTCTTGGGGCAGTGGCAGTGACCTTCGTGTACTCTGAAAGGCCCTGGTCTGTGGAGCTTGGGGCGGGGGGAGGGGGGGCGTGCACAGACAATGCTGAGTCAGCCGAGTCCTGCAGCCGTTCCTCATGCTGTGATGTCCAGCACGGCTGCTTGCTTTTGAACCCATGACATTGATCATTTTTATCCCAGCTGATTAGAGAATTTAACTGGGAACCATCTCTCTATGAACATGCAACCCAACTTTATAATTCAATGAAAAAGAAAGGACTTCGTTCTACAAAACGTGTTCTACTGAGGTCTGGAAAGTATGTGCACCCTTAAACGGGACGATCTGTCGATGACTCTTCTGGATACGACTCTGTGGGGACGGGCTCCAGGAGAGGCCACTACTCAGCTTTGAGGGCTGGGAGGAAAGACGCCCCTCCACGACCCAGTTCCGAAAGCTGTGCACATGCTGCTGCCACCGGCCTGTCCTCCTGGCCTGGCACCCAGCAGCCTCCCGCCCACCTCACTCGGTTAAGGGACATTCTTCCTTCGTGTGTCAGTGCAGCTGCCACCTGTCCCCATGTGTCCCCTGCCCTGCACACTGCATGAGGGCAGGGTGGCCTCAGGCCTCCCCATTTCACCTCCAGCACCCGTGACAGAGCCTGACGGGGAAACCTCCTGGATCAGACGAGCGCGTGAAAGAGCCAGTTGGTCTGAGACCCCCACGCCCCTGTGCTCTGGGATCCTGAGGCCCAGGGAGGATGGAGCAAAGGAACAGGCGGCAGGTGGACAGTACCTCTCTGGCCTGACGTAGGAGTAGATGGTGTCCACAGGAGGCAGAGGGTCAAAGCCCAGCACAGGCTGCGAGCTCACATCCTGCACAAGGGGGCACGGAACGGGCACACAGCTGAGCCCTGGGCGACGCCTGCCCGCCCCCCACAGCCTGTTGGCGATTCTGCTCTGGGCGCAGGCAGGCTGGGCGGCCAGGCAGTTCACTGCACCAAAGGCTCTGGGTAGGGGCGGGACAGTCTTTCTTCCACCAGGACACTCGCCTGGCTCAGATCAGAGGACTGTGATGACTCGGTGCCAGAGTAACAGAAACACACAACCACCCTCACCCAGGACATCAGGATATCCCCTCACTGCAGGAGGCCACAGGCTGCGGGCCTCCCCTTACCGGGGGCAGTGCAGCAACCGCCTCCTTAATCTCAGAGAGGATCACGTGACGGTGGATGTTTCTGGGCGCACGCTGGTAGAGCACCTTCCGCCTAGGGCCGGGGGAACAAGGACAGCTGTGGGATGGAGTCTGCCCCGCCCATCCCACGTCTGTGAGAGACCCCGAGCTGTAGGGCGTATCCTCCGGGGGCCCGTGAGGTGGCCCCCAGGCTCACCTGCTCTCACAAGCCTCCACCGCAGGGTCCCCGGCGTCCACAGCCTTCAGGACCTCATGCACAGTCTCCTCCAGCCAGCTTATGGTGGTGGGTTCCTTCCAGAGGAAGTGTGACCGCCCGAGGTACAGGCTCACCAGCTGACTCAGGGCAGGGGGCTGGCTGCGGG